TATAAGCAAATTTATATATAATTATTTTTAAGTTTTGACACTTATTAAAAAATTTTCAAAAAATAAAATATTGAGGCATGCAACAACAAGAATTTTCATTGACTATTTGATTTTATAAAGCATGTTAGAGGCAAGACAGCCTTTGGAGACTATGTTCACTTCAACATTTCGGTTGAATTGTGCTTGAACAAGAAAATCTAAGGAAAAAGAAATTAGAAAGTTTGTTTTAAATCACATATCATGGTAGAGTGTGGTTCATGCTATTACAACCACTAGGCCACTAATATATCTTTTGAAAATAATGGATGCTAAGAAGAAGCTTGTAATGGTTTCATATGTAATGATATGTAAGAAGTGAACGACCTAATTGCCCAACTCTTAGGAGGAAAGGAGGGCAACTATAAGAAAATTTGGGACATTAAGAATAAGGAGATGTTCATTAGATTGTAGAAGGCAGAAGACATAAATTCAAAGAGATGTCAAGGTAATTTGAGTTTGTTTTTTTTTTTTTTTGCTGGAAAAAAAATTATATAACAAAATGATTCATATTATAGTTCTACTTATTATACTCATTTTTTATACCTCGGTTGAGTGGTGGATATAATTTGATAATAACACTCACAACTACAACTTTTCACTACTAAGGTTTTAGGACTAAAGTATTTTTTATCTAAATGTGAACGCAACTGGAGCAGATATAATTAAGTGCATAAGAATAGGAGAAATAGTTTTTCAACCCTCAGGATGAATTCTTGGGTGTACATCATGTACAATAAGAGACTAAAGGACAGATACTTAAAAATAAGGTTGAAGGATGATGATAATCCTTTCCTTTGTGAGGTTATGACATCGATGATTAGTGTTTATGCATGATGAATTGGCAGTATCACCATCTGAATTACAAGAAGATTTGAACATTGACTTTTTATGATAATAGAAGCAAAACATATGCATCAATCACAAGTAATCAACAAAAATAATTAAAAAGAAAATATATATAAAGAATAATTTTAATTTTTTTAAGTTTCTTTAATTTGGAGTATTATTTTTCATCTTTATATTGATAACAAATATTTATGGAAGAGAAAAATAATCCAAATTGATGAAGAATAAATAGATTGGGAGACATTGGACTGTACAAGTGAAGAGGTATGAGAGAAAGCAAATCATTATTATGACTCAAACGAAGACCACCTTAGTACTGAGAATGCAAATGACTTTTGAGTTTTTAGTTATTGTTATACTAATATTATTTTCTTTAGAAATTATATATGAATAAGTATGAAAAAAAGAAGGAATTTGGAATTGAACTTAATGTTATATGATACATTTAAGTCATTCTTATATTTTATGTTATTATGTATTGTGATGTTAGCATTTCTATCTCACGCAACTTATCACTTGTCACTTTACATCTCGTACAATTTTTCATTTCATATATATGTCAAATTGTTATTCCATAGTTCAATAAAATATTAATATATTATTTGGCTATCATACAAGAAATCACTTTTAACCTTCATTTTTACTTTACGCAATTTTTGAATATTAAAGCTTATGCCTCAAAATGCCTTGAGACTTATGTCTTACCTCACGGATGACAAACACCACAATACCTACTTACACAATTTTAAACCTTGCTCGTCCCATCATGTCAGTTAGGACTTCACCCAAAACCTATGATGCACCGACACTTCTCCTCAAAGAGGCGTGCAGTGTCCGACACCGTGTCCGACACGATACTCGTCCGACACTCCCGTGTCCTATATTTTAAAAAAAAAGCCGTGTCCCGTGTCCGTGTCCGTGTCCGTGTCGTGTCCGTGTCGCCGTGTCCATACATCATAGCCCAAAACAAAAGAACATTAATCACCACCAAACTCACACTTATGGTTGAATGAATTGTGTTGAACCAAAGCGAGGAAATATCGATCAATAAACCCAAAGTATGCTTAACTACCATGTCCTGTAAAGAGTGCCATTGCGGATTTACCAAGCTTGGTCATTAAGCTAAAACTTCATCCAGAAGTTCAAGCTCAGAAAAGGATATATTAACACCTATTCAGTTTCAGTTCAATATTTCACGTTTAAATTTTAAGATGCATCCCCATATCAGAGAGATGCTACTGATGAATGAATTCAGAAGTTTGCTCATGAAAGTGGATTCGGCCAAAGACTACTTCCAAAATTTTATATGGTCCAAATTTGCTAATTGAAGAATCACATCAATAAGTGATTTAGTCAATGGATCTCATATAAGCAATTCAATGACCGAAGTGAAGCGAATACCACACAGTTCATGGAAAATGTCAAAGCACAATCTGTGGAAGCAAATATATCAAAAAGATAATGGAGCTTTGGTACATTTGTTGTGGTAAATTGATGGAAAAATCAGATTGCATGGCACGTCAATAAAGGTGCATGAAAACCTAAGAATCACAATTATTTGAATTTGCATGAAAAGAAAAAGGGATAAAATATGAACGTATGTAGTTAGGGTCATCATGTAGGAGTTCAAAAGCATTTTTATATTTCTTCAATCGGATCCATGTAAACAAAAATTTAGATTTAAAGAAATAAGCTAGCATGGGTAAGCACGAGAAAAACTTGCCCAGAAAACTTCACCATAGACAATGTTAATTTGATCAATTCAACACATCAGTACTCCCGTGATTCAGTATAAGTACAAAAAAAATCAATTAGAGTATCTCACTTAACATTCAAAATTGGGTAAATAATTCTGAATTTAAGAATAATAATCAACAATCCAGATAAGCCAATTAAACGGTAGTTAAAATATTCACAAGTTGAGTAATGATGCATGGTCGGATGCATATATGGAGCTTTACCTATGACCATAAGAATGCGTGGCACAGAACTATATATGTCTATATATGCCGGTAAGCAAGCATCGTGAACAAATGTCTATGACAAACATCCATGCATATAAATCGAAAGATATTCATGCATCTCAATGCATAAGTAGATGTACAGATCCGTGAGCAAATAAGACTAATAAAAAAATTCTACACTAGCTACCTCTTAACAGCAAAAGTCTGCCAGTAATCGAAGCGAAGAAGCTAACAGGAGAACAAAAGGACCTCAATTCAATTGTGGCTACTCTGTAAGTACATAATAAATCATTGGCTATATGTCGTCCAAGCACACTCTTCATTGTTAATGCCATAAATTTATTACATTTGTTTAGAACAACACAGTAATTAACTAAATTTGCATATTATCCTTGCCACCAGCTGAGCTTGTGTGAAAATAACAGGAAAAGGCACCATCAATGCCAAAAATTATGGTATCTCCATGAATACTAACACAAAGATGAAACTAATTACCATCTTATCACCAAATCAAACATATCTGCAGGAAAAGGTTTAGAGACTTAATTGTATTGTGCCACCATCACTCTAATAAACAAAAAATCACTAAGTGAGCCAAACACACTAGAGGAAAGTGTTTGGTTCTGTTCTGTTCACAATAATACATAGCAAAATACACACCCAATCTTCCTCTACATGTGCAATCCTCATGCAGAAATCGCAATGCTCTGTGAACTTCATATATGCCATTATTAATAAATTCACATCAGAAGAGCCAGAACTCTTCAGCTAACAAAGAAACAAACATTCATGAAGTCAACAGACTTGGGATGCAAAAATGATTGGGTAAGACATAAGAAACCATACGAATATCATCTCCACCTTTCTTAGAGGTGTCAATAAATGAACCAACCTACCAACCCTATCCGAACCCAACTTTAAAAAAAAAAGTTTGGGTTCAGGTTAACTTGGTTATTAAACAAATCATGTTCGGGTTTGAAATTCCAACCTGTTTATCAAACGGGTCAAGTTCAGGTTGACAAACGAATCCAATTTTGACACGAAATGACCCGTTTAATTTTTTCTGTAAATTGTTTTACTTGTTGGTATGATCTTATTTTTTATCAATTAACTTAAACTTTATAGTTGATAAGTACTAAAAAATAATAATCAAAATGGGTTATCGGATCATGTTCGAGTCATTCTGGTTGCTGGTGAGTCTAATTCGGATCAAGCTTTTATAATGGTTTATTAAATGCGCCAGGCTCGGGTTGACTGCACAAGGTTTATGTCAATTTCAAATAGGACCGAAACTCAACCTATTAACCTATCTTAACACCCCACAAAATAAAAAATTACTTTTAAAGGCTATTAAGCTTTAAAGTTTTAGTTTATCACGTTCTTTACAAGCACACCAGCAAACCAATAAAGTTGAGTATTTCCTTGATTCAAAGGTTTATGATAGGAAAATATAAGCAGAAAAACAAAATTTTGGCGATTCTGATAAAAATAACAGCAATGAACCTATTTTAAGAGTATGGCCATAAGGATCAAGCATAGAAGCTGGTACCTATCAACCTAAATGCTATGAAATGGAAACATTCAAACTGGAAAAGCTGAAATTGAAGAAAGAAAAATGCTGAAGTTAAGGGAAGACGAGAAGAATTGGATAGCAAAACAACTTTATATAGAAAGGATTTTAAAAGAAGTGCAAATATCTCTTTATCCAACACCTGCCCTAAAACTTGCTACCATAAAGCAAGCCAGAACCCATGCTTTTTTCTAGTTCTTTTTTCCCTACAAAACACGGACATTTGGAAGCACCAATTGCTGCGAGAAACTCTAGGTGATTGCTAAACCCAAAATTAGCCATATACAAGTAGAAGGAACCCAAAAAGAGGCATACACATCTGATGCAATAAAAATTATGTAAGTTCTATTTCTAAATAAGCATAGTTTTAGAAAGTTTTTCTTTTTTTAATGTTTGATAACTTTCAGCTGAAATCTTGATTCAGATCTATTGCTTTCAGCTGAAGTCTTGATTAAAATCTAAGAAAACTTTCCTTCATGCATATAATTGCAGACAATCAAATCGATAAGTGTTAGTAAAATCAAGATTAGAATACACCATATTGTTTTATATAATAAAGATACATCGAAAGAAATACAAACCATCATCGAGCCTCTTCTTGTAAGGAAGCGTGTTTCCTTCTTTAAGGGAATCAACTAAATTTGTATTACCAGCTGAGATTCCAGTTAGGTTGCTATCAGACGAGGTTGCATTCCGAATAAGCTGATTCCTTTTACTTCTGTAGTACAGATATGATGATGAAATGGGCAGTATCTTTGACCTCTCCATAGGATGATGAGCAGGCAACTGACATCCCTCCATAAGAAACCTAGAGGAATCACCAAGTTCAAGCTCTTGTGCAGCAACCAACTGGTTCATTTTGCGTTTGACATATGTTACTCTCTTTGCATTGACAATCTCAGCTGTTTTACAACTTGTAGCATCCTGGCTCTCCAAATTACCAGCAAGTAAGCCGGTAGATTGACCATCATGTTGATTTCCCTGATCTGTGTCAGGTTCAGGGCTTCTGTCCGTTGTTAGAAGTTGAGGAAAATCATTACGAGAATTCATGGTGAAACCAGACTTGGAAACGGGAGGTAAAGGAGGCGTTTTTGGTCTTTCAAATAGAGTATAAGGTGTTGCATTATCCGGGCATTCACTACTAATTTCCCTCGCACTACTCTCTGTGATGGATTTAAATTTTCTATTTGAGGTACCAACAGTAGAAAGGAGGGCAGGAGGCGGCTCAGCAGCTAGTTTCCGTATAAGACTATTACCTTTACGAAAATATGAAGAATTCTGAATCTTTCCTATCTTTTTAGGCACTTGCTTACTTAAAATTCCTCCTAGTTTTAGATTTTTCTCTGAATTTAAAGGAGAATTAGCACGAAGCCATGTCCTATGCCTCCCAGTTTGACTAGCACGAGCAGTATCTTTGAGTGAAACAGAACAATTCAGCCTATTTGAGAGAAATCTCGAAACATCAGCATGAGGTAAAGTTTTTTTACATGAGAGATCTTTATCCTTTAATTTTGGACTTGGAATTACTTGTTTTTTTTCAAGGTTTGGTAAGGGTTGTGCCTTCCCAGACATTAACTGACTGTTCTTAATGGTTTTACCTGATTCATGGCCAGAATCAGAAGCACTGGATACCATAGAACTTACAAAACCCACACCCCTACCTCCGTGTTCTTCATTTATATTGCCATTATATGCACTGTTATTGAAATTCATACTCGCAGATGGCTCTAGGTGATAAAGCGATAAATTTTCAGAATGTGAGGCAGGAGAGTCCATTTTCATGGGTCCCAAAAGTAAAGCTTGTCCTATACTTTTGTTGCAGAAATCAATCGTAAGAGCATCCAAGCTGTCATTAAAGGACATATTAGAGACAGCTTGGGGCTGCATATTATTTTCTTTAATAGTTCCCTCACTCTGAAATTTCAGCTCTGGAACTGAATTACTGATCTCTGAAAATGAAGGAGCTAGGAGATCCTGAATATATGGCTGTGAACAGGCATAATTTCCAGGAACTTCAAGTGGCTCGGTAGCTGTAGTAAATAACATTTCTTCCTGATGCTTTACTTCACTCTCAATATCTATTTCAGTCCTAATGCCACAAGAAGTGTCACTGTAAGCAGTTCTGGAACCAGCTGGGACAAGGACTTCTCCAGCACCTAGCAATTCAGGTGATGCATAATTATCAGGAGATAAGATGAATTGCCCAATTTTTGGAAGAGGAGAGTTTGTCACATCCTCCAATTTTGGTTTAATTAGTTTAACTGAGTTTGCAGCACCATTTTCATCCTTGTTTATAAAGGAATTCTGTGCATCAATATTATCTATGATGTACCCAGAAGGTGGCAAACAAACATTCGCATCAAAATTCAAAGAACTGCATTCCCTATCCAAATTCTTCCCTAGCTCCAATGATTCTTCACCACTATCATCAAGGATCTCAATGACAATATCTTGTACTTGATTAACATCTTTGGTAGTAATTTTTGCACTAACATTATTAGTTGGAGTCGCTTGCATCATCTGTAATTTTTCATAAATCTGCAAATGGCTATTATCACTAGGCACAGTTTTTGTATCACTAATAAGGTTGCAATTACTTATTTCCTTTGCACAATTGATAACACCGTCACACTTGGGAGTCTCTATACCATCCTCCATCCTCGGAATCTCACTAACGCAACCATCCACTTGACTAGACATCTTAGCTGCTTCTTTGGCTCCACTCTTCTTAGCCATTACCATTTTCTTGACCTTCTTTGTCCAAGCACTGGGCATAGATTTGGTCCCAGGCATACGAGAAGATAATTCTGCTTTGTTAGCTTCTGAGAGCTCTGAGATATTTCTAAGACTGCTTGAAAAATATTTCCTAACTCCTTGCTTTGCAATAGAGCCAGGTGAGGTTGAAACGATAGGAATTACCACCTTTTCCCTTATGTGTATCATATTCTTCTTCTTTTTCTTCTTCATGACTCTATTTTGGTTTCCACTAGAGCCTGATAAACCTGAATTAATAGGAATTATCACTTTTTCCCTTTTCTGTGTCATATCATTCTTCTCTGTAACTCTATTAGTATTAGGCTTTTCTACAAAAAGATCTTTTTCAATGGAGCTTGGCTCAGCACCAAAGGATTTAAGAAACTTTGATAACAGAGTATTTGATTTGAATGAGAGGTCAAGGATGTTAGCTTTGGCCTCAGTCTCATTTGATATTCCAGGAGGAGAAGCAAGGGAACTTGGAGCAGAACAAGGAGTGGGCAATATCAATGGTTTCTCCTCTAACCTCTCCCACACAGATAACCCACTTTGTATCCTAGCAAATGCACTAGGCTTCTGCAAAGGCCTCTTCGCGGAATGTGCATTATATTTAGCACCCCTATTACTGGTCATCTTCATCTTACCATTGTATCCTGTGTAGCAATCTTCTTCAAATCCATGCTCACTATAATTAGTTGAGATGCTAGATGCTTTTCTTACCATATGATTACCATTCCAAAACCCATCTTCGTTGGCAATATTAATTGGATCCGATTTCTTAATTGCATTATGCCCCACGTACTTTCTCCCTCCAAAACCACGATCTGGAGCCAAAACTCTGGAACTGTTCCTTTTCTTGTAGATAGATTGTACTGGTTTAAAATCAGGTCCATTTCCAATAACTTGGGAGTACGCTGCCATATCCCCAGTGCTCTTAACTACTTTTGTATTCGGAAAGGAACGGCCAGAGGAAGGTGGAGAACTAGGTCGATGCCGATGCACAAAAACAAAGGAATCCTTTCGACCGCTATTTTTAACCGAGCCAGAACTACCCAGTCCTCTAGGAGAGTGGAATGGCGGAGGTGCTGCTGCCAAAGGTACAGCTTCTGGCGGCAGTTGCTCGGGAAACGGTTCACGGTAACGGCTTTCTCGTTCATCCCAGAACCGAAGCTGCCGCTGGTTCTTCCATTCAGAATCATCCCCCAAGAACCGATCTTGCTCGGACTCCAGCCTTCTCCTGGCATCTCGGTCTCGATCGGGATCTCCAAATTTAAAGTAACTGTCATATGGCTTGATCCGATCAGGACCCTCATCAAACATCCCAGGTTTATCGACAGAGCCACCTCGGCCTCGATCCCAAAGCTCGGGCAGTATGTGCTTGCCATCAGGTGGGACACGATGGATGGCACGATCAGAAACCCTAGGGAAAGGAGGATGACGATCATCAAATCGAGGGGGATTTGAACGGTGCGGGGAAGGAAAGCAAGAAAGATCACCGGGATGATGGACAAGCCGCGATTCATAATAGTGGTTCCGAGAAATCGCCGGGGGGGTTGGCACCGCCGGATGAGTTGCAAAAGAGGAGAAGGGTGGATGACGTTGGGGACAATAGTTGGAATCGGGAAAATGCGGAGGAAGAGGGTACCTGGCCCGTCGGCCGAGCCGCGGTGAACTGAGAGGATCCATTGAAGAAACCTAGGCGAAGACAAAGGTGGACGCCACAAGTTCCTTTTACAGAATTCGCTCCTGCGCTCTTTTAGGTCAATCGTATTTGCTTGTTGGGGAAGTTATAGTCGATGGGATAGACGTCATGATATAAATAAAATGTTTTTTTTTTAATTTTCATGTTTTTGGGAAGACCAGGAGGGGAAGTTTTTTAAGGAGCAGTGTTATTTTAGCCGAAGGAGTTCAGGGTGAAATTCTAATCGCAGCACATTTTTCGGCATATTTAAAATTCGTTAAATAATATGGTGCGTTTTTAATATCTCAAAATAGTGAGAAATTATTTTTGTGTGACGTAAAAAGCCTGTTCAGAGATCAATTAGAATGTGTCATGTCAGCTGTGATACTGAGCACAGGGGAGACGTGGAGCATTTTGGTTAATTTCCGGATGGGGATCGATGTCCGCACATCCAAAATAGTTGATGTTTTATGTTGGATTCCCAATTTTCGTGCTCTTCCGTCATCTTGTGTGAGATTAATGTACAATAAGTCGTCTAATGTGATTTTAATGCACAATAATTTAATTTCAGAGGTGTGAGATTAATGTAAAGTAATTTAATCTGAGGGGTTGATGCACAACAACAATAACATCAAGTCTTTATCCCACTACGTGGGTCGGCTAAAGGAATCTTTTTTCTCCATTGTGTCCTATTAAAGGTTAAATTCTTGTTTAAATCTAATAAAGAAAGATCATTCATAATATTTTCTAACCAAGTCTTTTTAGGTCTGTCTCTACCTTTTTTAACATAAGTCAAATCTAATACCTCTACTCTCCTAACCGTGTCATCGAAAGTCCGCCATTTTATGTGACCAAACCATCTAAGGCGACTCTCTCTAATCTTATCTTCGTAGTCAGTGATGTGCTCTGAACTCAGGTAGTCAAGTAAAGATATATAGAATACATGCACTCTAGTTGCCCGAAGACCATCCAAGAAGATTCTAAGTCAGGTTATCATCATCGTTTAGGCAAAAACCATCCAAAGCGATAAACCATCCAATTCAGTTTCCAACAGAAAAGCCAACCAAACAACCCTCTTATAAAACTTTCAAAGCTCTAGAACGATTTCTGCTCAAAGAATTCCTTTAGCCAATAACGTCTGCACACACTTAGTGCCAAAACATAAAGTTCCCTTATTTCTATTTAGAGATCTTTAGTCTCATAGTCTTTGCTATAACATAAGCCAGTGTAGTAAAACACTTTGCCGAAGAATTCGATTATTCCTTTCACACCATAGATGATAAATGATAGCATTTAACAGTAAGAGTTTGCACATATTATCTTTATTTTCGTCCGGTAAGCCTCCAATGAACTCTAGAGCCTAAGAGACATTGGGTCTTAAAAGAAAATTTTGCATGTTAGGAATTAGCTCGATCAGAATTTTGTAGGAATATTCACATTCAAAAAATAAGTGGGATATAGTCTCAAAGTTATTATGGCAGAAATAACACATAGGATTTGTAATGATAATGCCTTTCCAGGATAAAACATCCGTTGTTTTTAGCCTTTCTAAAAGTGTCATCCATGTGTGTATAGAGAATCTGGGTGAGTGTTTCTTATGCCAAATAAGATGGGACCAATCAACTGAGTCGTCAAACTCAAAATATTCCATGTAATAATCTTTATACAAAGCCTTTGAGTAGTCATTCCAAGTTAGAAAGTTAGTATGATCCGACACAAGAGGAATTTTGCAAATGAAATATCTGATTTCCTCACTTATAGAAACAGTAATGCACCAATTCTCATTGCGAACCAAATTATCAATAGAGTCATTTTCCTTACATATATTAAGTAAAGGCAATCCATGAAATATATTTATCAACTTTTCACCCAAACACCAATGATCCCAAATAATTGATTCCTTGCTAAAGCTTTGAGGAGTGAAAATGAATTTATCTCTTACCCGAACTGCAGTTTCATAGACACCTTTACAAAATTTAGTTGGGTGAGAAGCATTGTTTTTCCAATGAGAGATATAACGTGCCAGCAGGAAATTCGAAAGAGGATTTTTTTTATTATACATTCTACTGATGATATTGCAGTTATATGCAAGCCTCATAGCCAAAATGGATGGAATACCAAGCCCTCCTTTACTATAATGTTTACAAGTATTCACCCAAGAGATTAAGTGTAGATGTTTTTCATTTGTATTAACCAAGTATAGAAATCTGTCACATGATTTACCACTACTTTTAATGGTAGTTTTAAGAATAAAAGTGGCTCTAACCCAATAGGCCATAGTATTAGATATAGTATATTTAATATATTGCATTCTGCCAGCTAATGATAGTGCATTGGCTTTCTAACCTGCAAGGAGATTGTTTATCTTTTCTAATAGAGGGATAAAATCAGAGATTTTGAATTTCTCAGCTGATATTGGAATGCCAAGACAGTTAAAATTATTAGAAACATTGGTGACCTTCAGAATTGGCGCAAGTCCTAAGACATTAGACGTGTACTGAGATAAATTTACCATGCACTTATGACTATTTAGATGTAGCCCGGTGCAGCTAGTGAATTTCTCCAAGATATCATTAATATTGTTGCAATTTGTTTTGCTTTGCCAAAAACAATTAGATCGTCAGCATACAGAAGGTGGGAGGTGTGAAACTCGCCCATAGAAATGCCCTTAAAACCTCTCGTGTTGGACTGGTCATCTAGTAAACAAGAAAGTCTGTCCATGATGATGCAAAAAAGATAAGGTCTGAACGGGCAGCCCTACCTTAAGCCAAAAGAGGAAGAAAAAAAGCCTTCTAAAGAGCCATTTAAGCATATAGAGTAATTAACGTTGGAAATGCAAGACGACCCAGTTAGTGAATACACTAGGGAAACCCTTTTGAATCATTCTAGAAATGAGAAAATCTCTTGAAACAGTATTAAATCCCTTCCTAATGACAACTTTAGCACAGAATGAATCTCTTCTACTAGTGTTCATGAATATCTTCATTATTTCACCAACCAGAATGGGGTTATCAGTGGCCAGGAGATTAGAAATAAAAGTTGTTTGGCTATTGTGGATGATTAGATGCATAATCAATATCATACGATTAGCAAGGATTTTAGCAATGATTTTGTAAAATACATTGCACATTGTAATAGGTATGAAGTACCCTATGCTACTATCATGGGTATTTTTAGGTACAAGAACAAGTACAGTGGCCTTAACACCTTTAGGAAGGTAGCTTTTTGAAAAAAATGATTGAACATCGTTGAAAACCTCTATGCCAATAATGTGCCAACACTTCTTATAAAAAATCAAAGTTGAATCCGTCTGGTCCAGGAGAGGACTCTAAGTGCCCATAAAAAATAACTTTTTTTAACTTCTTCAAAGGTGATAGGCTTGATAAGATGTTCAGCTAAATGGGAAGGAAGACATGAGCCTTTAGGAATATTACTAGTATTAGCAGTAGCAGTGCTAGGTTGATTAAGCAAGACCTTAAAATGTTGAATGATATCTTGAACTTTAGAGGTGTGATCCTTAGGTGAACCAAAGAGGGCACTCTCTATAGCACTATTATTGACGGCTATTCTCCTGTGAATCCTGGAATAAAGAAATTTTAAATCTTCTTCCCCATGCAAGAGCCATTTTACTTTAGCTCTTTGGTTCACCCAAGATGTCCATATGGAATTATAGTACACTCGATTTGAGTTTATGTTTCTAAGATTGGTGCAAAGCTTTGGATTGAGTGGATCCAAGTCCAGGGGCATATGGCAATCCAGCTGCTGCTTAGTGAGGGAATCAATCAATGGCATGATGGTATTAGAAGAATTCCAATTGCAATCCTTAATCAGCATTTTAAGTCTCCCAAGCTTATTATAGAAACAAATGATAGGATTGCCAGCAGCCGACAGAGCAAAAACATCAAATAGTACGTTACAAAACTCCTGGTAGCGAGTCTGGTGATTTTTTAACATAAAATGATGAAAATTTTTCCTTTGCTCACCAGTAGAAATGATAAGAGGGAGTGATCTGAAATAGAGGCACCCAGAACTTTGTACGATGAGTTGGGAAAGAAAGTAATCCATTTCCCATTGATGAGAGCTCTATCAAGCTTAATACTGATGGGATTATCACTTCTTTGATTGTTCCAGGTTAAGAAGATACCCATGGAAGTAAGATCTGTGAGTGCAGTGTCAAAAATCATGGAGTTAATTGACCCAACCTAGCTTTTGAGATCGAATTCCCTCTAGCCTTCTTAGAGCTAAAACGATAGCAATTGAAATCCCTAGTGACAATCTACAGTTGATCATTAAGGGGATTAAGGCTTCTAATATCATCCCATAAACTAGTTCTCTCATCATGAGAATTAGAGGAATATATAATGGAAAGAATAATAGGTTGTAGAGAATCAATAGTAAGCTTGGCAGTAATCATTTGATTGGAAAAGAATATAGGATCAAAATTGATTCTATCAGAATTCCATTTGACCCAAATCCTACGTGGATTAGCAAGATAAAGTTATTACAACTTTTTTCATTGATAAAGATCTCATGGCAGGAGCATAACCATGGACCGTTTAAATTGTGAAGGAGAGGCAAACCATATCTAACCTATGATCTCTTACCAGCTTCTTGACACCGTTAACTTTATCAAGACTATTAAAACCCCTGATATTCCACACGACAAAGGGTGGAATAAACATTAGGATTTAGAATTATTGCTCCTTTTGGAGCCCTATCATCTTATTCTAGCTTGTTTTTATTTCCCTTGTCATAGGGACCTTGAAGTGTTGTTGGCTAGGATTCGAGTCCAGGGGAGCGGGTTTTACGAAGAGAGCAGTGATGAATCATGATGCATGCTTTACAAAGGAGGGTTGGCGGAGTGGAGCGGAGGAAAAATGGTGTTGGAGAGGGAGGGATCCACTATGTCGGCAAGGAGATGGAGTAAAGGAAAAAGCGGTTGAGACTCAAATAACCTTGGCAAAGTGAAACAAGCGATCTTGATCCAACTTAAATATCTTCAAAAATTGCTACTTAATTTTATATTATATAGTAACTAAGATATAAAAAAATTGTAAGAAGTAATTTAAATGTGGGGCAACTTTTTAATAATATGTAAGTTTAATTAACTAATGTTACATT